ATCGAGGGCTATAAGTTCAAGCTTTGAAACATTGAAAAATCTCGCTCTAGTGTTCTTATTTTCGCGTTCAAAGTAACCGGAAATTTTTCCTCTACCCGGAAATAAGCAAACTTAAATCAAGCATAATCATACCACATTAAACTAACCTCATAACTCACAAAACTAACATAAAACTCACACACCCTTATTACAACACATCTTCCTCAAGAACCACAAATTTACATCCATAAATCCAAGCTTAAAGTTGGCTAGAAATTAATGGAGAAGAGTTTGAGAACTTACCCTTGAAGAACTCTCTCTCTCCCTTGAAAACCTTTGAACTCCTCTAAGATTTGTTAATGGCTTGGAACTAGAAAGTATAAGGAAATTTAAGAGGAATATTTCTACATTTCAAACTTTACTAAAACATAAAAAGAGAGGGTTTAGAGTTTCCTTACCCTTGGAGGAATGCTTGACTAGTCTCCTCCTAGACCCTTTGATCTCTTTCTTCTTCTTCTATGGTTTGCTAGTGGCTCAAGATTGGAAGAGTGTTGGAGAGTGGGAGAAAATATTTGAGAGGAAATGGAGAGTGTGTGGCCGGATTTTTTGAGTGGGGAAAAAGCTAGGAGAAAAAAAATGAAGCTTATCCTATGTTGGTTCCTTTTATAGGCAACTTGGAAATTATTTTTTTTAACACCAATTCCACTCCATCATTCAACCAAATTTTTGGTTCAAATCCCCCTTTCTTGGCCGGTTTTGGAAGGAGAAAAGAAGAAGCAACTTTGCCATTAATTCCCCTTCAACCACTAACATCACATCACCTTAACATAAAGTCCTCTAGCACACTCCACTAGCCAAATGCTTGGCTCTATTTTTTCATGCATGGCCGGCCAAGTGGACGAAGAGAGAGAAAAAAATCTCACCTACCCCATTGTACTCTTGTCCACTTTCTTAAGTTTCCCTTTGAAACTGATAAAAATTATACTGACTATAAGAGAGTAACTTAGCTGACAGGAATTCGTTTCCATTTCTGACGGTTCCTTTTTCGACTGCTTATTTACAGTTAAATGTTAAATCCTTGACTGCTTTGGATATCACATTAAATTCTTATTCGTGTAATATCTTGAACTGTTTACAGTCTTGAAATTAATTCTAGACTGAACAAATTCTAAATTTAACTTTCCTGCGTTAATTTTCGGAAATGACGTTGTTTCTGACGGTGTCAACTCCCGAGTTCACATTGTACCCTTCTACTATGGGTATTTATCTTCTGACTTTAACCTAGCTGTCTGGCAATTAAGGATTTTCTCTTCTTTTAAAATGTCAGTGCGTTTTTTTTTATACGCTGCTAACATCATGTTGTGTTTGGAGATTCTTGAAATTAAGATTCTCAAACTATACTTGTACTGAAAATTATTCCGCCTTAAAGTACGGTGAGAATTTATCGATCGAATTTACTTGATCGAAAACATGAACTTAACATGAAATCTGCTACAGAATTTAGGAATACATATATTAATTCCATAAATCCTTCAGTCACATAATATTTATCTAAGAAAATCCTTAGCTTAAATACATAAATTGTATTATTTAAGGTCTGGAATTTTCTCAGTCATTACAGGGGACACATGTTTCCATCAAGAAAATAGAAGGGGACATATGTCACTGCCTAAATGGATGATTAGAATTACTTTAATTGGAAGTCATGCAGAAAATTATGCACATAAGTTTGATGAGGATTTTTTGTTTTTTTTTTTGGCGACATCAATGAAATTGCTTGGCTTGAAACTTTTCTTAAAAAAGGAAAACAATGGAACAAGTTATTTTACTTTATAAGTGAGAACAATTAGTTTTAATTATTAGATTAATTTTTTAACAGTTAAATTTATATAGATCTATATTAAAAATTTATAATATGTCATAAAAAACTATTTTTACAACATATCTGATCGTTGAAAAATTAACCTAATAGTAAAAAGATAGTTCCTATTAGTGGAGCAAAAGAACTTGCTCCCCCATGAAAAAAGCCAAAGAAAAATAAAATAAAAAAATATGAACTGAAAGTATTAGACCATTGTTTTGATCCTTTTTTAAAAAAATATATACGCAAGACTACTATTTTGATTACAATATGACAATGTGATATCTCACAAGATAAAATTTATAATCATATCTGATAGCTGTAATGTTTTCTTGCTTGTATTTTACGCAGGAACAATCAGCAAAGTCATGAAGAGGACATTTGGTTCATGGATTAGAACCATGAGATTAGAACCATTTTTTATTTACTTGTATTTTTTGTGAGAGAAAATACTGTAGCGAATCACGAACTATAATTCGAATCAAGGGACGAATCCCCCACCTAAACAACCCAGAAGAAAACTTTCCACGAAAGTGGGACAGTTACAAATATTATTTTTACAATATGCAGACCTTGGTCGACTCAAAGACTTGAAAAATTTTGGGCACTTTTAGTTCTTGAAATGCTAGCAAAACTGTCAAAGTGTAGGAAGTTGCCTTGCATTTGCCAAATCTAATCCGGGTTTAGACCATCAATTGGTGGAATCACAATTCTGTTAATTAATCTGAACATCGTCATTTTTCTTGCTTTTTCTTACGTTCAATTGCTTTTTCTTTCTTGTCAAAACGCGTAATGCTTAACATACGAATAACCTGGAACCTATCATAATGGCATGTATCACCTTTTAATCAGACGGTGAGATTACACTTCTCTTTCAATACTAATAATTACTTGTTTATTTTGGATGTCATGGGAAAAATTAAAAGATTGAAGTAGAACGTTTTCCTAACAGTACTATTAATGCTTGACTTAAAACTTAAAAAATGAGTTGAGAATTGTCTATTATTTAATCCAAAAAGACTACTCTGTGGAAAAAGTGGGCCTATGGATTATTGACTTAAGAAACAAAAGAAGTTACCCCCATGGATGTTGCATTTGCTAAATGTATCACTCTTCTTTTCCTTTTCGTATTTCTCTCAGGAGGAACTGTCAGTTTTTGCTCCACAATTAAGAAATCTGACAGTCTACTCTGCATTGAAAGTGAGAAACAAGCGCTTTTGAGTTTCAAGCAAGACCTTGTGGATATTTTCGACTCTCTCTCGTCTTGGATTGCCGAAGCAGAGGACTGCTGCAGATGGACTGGAATTGTTTGCGACAACATAACTGGCCATATTAACGAGCTTCATCTCACAACTGGCAGCCTACGAGGCAAGATAAATCCTTCTTTGCTTAATTTGACACATTTGACTCACCTAGAACTGAACTCCTTTAATGCAAATGGGGCTCAAATTCCAAAATTTCTAAGTTCTCTTGTGCACTTAAGATATCTTGACCTCACGAATGCAAATTTTAGTGGAATGATTCCTCAACAACTTGGGAATCTCTCAAATTTGTACCACCTTAGTCTTGGATATTATTTATCAAGTCCAAAGGAGTTATATGCTAATAATCTTGAGTGGCTTTGTGGTCTTTCTTCACTAGAATTTCTAGATTTGTCGTTTGTGAATCTGAGTAAAGCATCTGACCATTGGTTGCTAGCAATTAACAAGCTCCCTTCTTTGTTAGAGTTACATTTATCCCACAGTGAACTTAGCCATATCCATCGTCTACCAGCTCGTGTTAATTTTACATCCCTTGAAGTTCTTGATATTTCAGGAAACAATTTCAATTCTGTCCTACCTGATTGGATTTTCAGTCTAAGCAATCTTATCCGTCTTGATCTATACGATAGCAACTTTATAGGCCCATTTCCCAATGGTTCTTGGATCTTGAACTCTCTCACACATCTTGCTGCTGGACATAATTATCTCAGTAATTCTACCATTCCCAGCTACCTTTATGGCTTTCCCAGTCTCGAATACCTCGACCTCTCTAACAATAACTTGCAAGGTGTTTTATCAAGTGCCATTGGAAACCTGACGTCTATCAGTAGTCTTCACTTGTCAAATAACTCTTTGAAAGGGGAACTTCCTGTAGTGACCAAGAAAAAAATCCCATAATTTTAATAATATAATTCATGTATTCAAGTCAAGGATTTTCCGGGAAAATCATTATACTATGTACATTTTGTGATTGAAGGATTTAGGGAATTAACATCTGCATTCCTAAATTCTGTAGCAGATTTCACGTTAAGTTCACATTTTTCCGATCAAGTAAATTCGATCGATAAATTCTCACCGTACTTTAAAACGGAAGAATTTCCAGTATAGATACAGTTAGAGAATCTTAATTTTAAGAATCTCCCAGCACAGTACAACCTAGCATCCAGAACCCGTATACAGGAGAAAATAACTGTCAGTATGAGTTTGGACAGTTTTAATGAGTAAGTTAAGGGAATGGACAAAAGTACAAGGTGTAGGTTAGTGTGTGTGATTTGATGAGATGTGATGAGAGAGGTGAATAGGACTAATGATTAGTTTTTTTTTCTCCTTTTTCTCTTCACTTGGCCGGCCATCCTTAGGAAGTTATATCCAAAAATTTTGGTTATATGTTGAGTGTGTTAGAAGGCTACAAGTTAAACAATTTCAATTCTGTCCTACCTGATTGGATTTTCAGTCTAAGCAATCTTATCCGTCTTGATCTATACGATAGCAACTTTATAGGCCCATTTCCCAATGGTTCTTGGATCTTGAACTCTCTCACACATCTTGCTGCTGGACATAATTATCTCAGTAATTCTACCATTCCCAGCTACCTTTATGGCTTTCCCAGTCTCGAATACCTCGACCTCTCTAACAATAACTTGCAAGGTGTTTTATCAAGTGCCATTGGAAACCTGACGTCTATCAGTAGTCTTCACTTGTCAAATAACTCTTTGAAAGGGGAACTTCCAATGTCTACAAGAAACCTTTGCAATTTGCAAACGTTAGATATTTCTTATAACCAACTGAATGGATCTTTCCCAGAGAGCCTTGCTTCTCTTTCCAATTTAACGAGGCTTGATATTGCTTCTAATCAATTGGAAGGTGTGGTAACCGAAGCACACTTTGTTAATCTCACACGTTTGAGCGCATTTTCTGCTTCTGGAAACTCATTAATTTTAAGAGTAAGTCCAGATTGGATTCCTCCCTTTCATCTGAGATTACTACTAATGGGATCTTGGAACTTGGGTCCCCAATTTCCAACGCGGCTCAAGTCACAGAAGGACATTCAGACTGTCAAACTAGCCAGCACAGGAATTTCAGGCATTGTTCCCAGTTGGTTTTGGAATCTATCTGTTTCTTTTTCTTACGTTAACTTATGTAATAACCAACTCTATGGGGAACTTCCTGTTCAGCTCCCAACTTCTGCCTTCTCCGTAATATATTTGTGTTCCAACAAGTTCAATGGTACGATACCTCGTAACTCATTGCACAGCTGGCAGCTTGATCTTTCCAACAATTCCTTGTCTGGAGACATTTCTGAAGCTCTATGTCATCCAAAGGTTGAGAATGATCTCTTTAGTCCATTGACAATTCTTAATCTTGGAGATAACCTTTTATCAGGAAATATTCCCGACTGTTGGGCGAATTGGCCATCGTTGCTGGGGATAAACATGGGTAATAATAATCTAACTGGGAAAATTCCAAGCTCTATGGGATCTCTACAAAGGTTGCAGTTATTGTACCTTCGCAATAATAGTCTCTCCGGAGAAATACCTTCATTTCTTATTAACTGTACGGCATTGGAGAATCTTGACCTTAGTCTAAATGAGTTTGTTGGAGGCATACCAAAGTTTTTTGGAGTTGGCCTTTCAAATCTTAAGATTCTTAATCTTCGTTCGAACAAGTTGAATGGCCAAATTCCACTTGAGCTGTGTCGCCTTACTGGGCTTCAAGTTTTGGATGCTGCTATCAACAATTTATCCGGAACTATACCGATTTGTTTCAACAATTTCAGTGCCATGGTCACTAAAAATCATTCACGCCGTCACTCTTTCATCGCTTTTGGTGACTTCTTTGGCATCCCCTCGGAGAAGGCATATGTGGTGATGAAAGGGAGAGAAGACATGTACGCCGAAATCGTCTCACTGGTGACTAGCCTGGACCTCTCGAGTAACAAGTTATCGGGAGAGATTCCAAAGCAACTCACAAGTCTCCAAGGATTGATATCTTTAAATCTGTCAGGAAACCATTTGAGAGGCAACATCCCGAATGAGATTGGGAATATGGGATCAATCATATCTCTTGATATCTCGAGGAACCTGCTGTCCGGCAAAATCCCTCAAAGCATGGCAAATTTGAATTTCTTGAGCAACTTCAATGTATCTTTCAACAACTTATCGGGCGAAATTCCACTGAGCACTCAACTACAGAGCTTCAATGCTTCTAGCTTTATTGGCAACCAACTCTGTGGACTTCCACTCCCCAATAAATGCAGAGCAGACCATAACACATCAGTTGAGGATACGGAAGATGAAGAAGGCGACAAAGATGAAGAAGAGTACTGGTTCCGTTTGGGCGTTGCGGTCGGATTTTCAGTGGGCTTCTTGGGTGTCATTTCTCCCTTGGTCTTCTACAGATTCTATAGACGTGCTTACTATTGGTTTTTCCAAGAGTACTTGTGGTACAAGATTTTGGATTGCTATATCAAATTCAAACGCGTGGTAAGGATTTAATATTCTTAATTATCTTTTTATAGCATGTATTTTCTTCCCCTTAATTATCTTTGTTCTTCTGCTTGTATTGCGGATAAGAGTAGTGCTTTTCATTTACTTTCTATCTTATTTATTGAATGTCATTCATATTGAATTAATATATGTCCGTGTGTTGTGTCTAGTTTTACCGTATGGACTGAGAATGGGAAATTATCCTACGCATGGAAAGTAGTAAAAACCGGGGATCATTGTCGTCGGATTTGCTGTCGGCGTCCATTTCTTCTCTACCTATCCTGGAGACACTTTTAGTTTTGCTTTGGCAGTTCTGAATACTTGCTTCTTTGCAGCCTTCATAGTGGATATTGTTATTGTATTGTAAAACTGCATTTACCTTTTTCTTTTTGTTTTCTCATTATGTGAAATAAAATAAGAAGGTACTATGTAAAAGATTTCTTGGAATGATATGTATTATGTAAGGTTAGTTTTACGATTATCCTTTGTTTCAACGGATACATTAAAATCTCAGCACGTGTAGACATCTTTTGAATAATACGGATAACCATGTATTTTAAAACCCCTTATTTTTTAAATACTAAAACTTTCTCAAATTTATTTCCACCAGTACAAGGAATTTAATCCTTCAGGTAATCAACAAGTACCAAGTACTTGTAATTCCATTTAAATTCTAAAGCATCCTAGAACTTGAAGTTCATAGGAGAAGACTAGAAGTCAAACACCAGTAACTGGAATGCTCTCTAATAGTACCGGACATAAAGTCTAACATGTGTGCTAAGCCAATATACACCCCGCATGAGTTCTGAGTCTTGCCCCCAAGGATACGATCTCCATATCTTACTCTTCAGGCAATCAAGCACACTAAGTATCTAATTGCTCATCAGGTCAGTGTTCAAGAGCGAATTGCTTATCAGAACAGTGTCACGAGCTCTACATGTTTATACACTATGCTTGAGTTTATTTCTAATTCGAGACGTATTTTCTTTTCTGAAATTCCACTTCTGTAAACTATGATTCGCGAATATCAAGTTTTTCGGAAGGTTTTTCACATATATATGATTACTCCACATATATTTATTCATAGACTTTTCAAAATTCTTCTTAAAATCACTTATCAAGAAAAATTGAATTCTTCACCAAAAGGAAGAATTCCTTGAAACACTTTTAAAAAGGATCAGAAATACATTCTCATTCTTAAACATGGTTATAACTGGAGAAGTATGAAAAATTTTGGCTTAAAACTGATTTTCAAACATTTTTAGGCGGTTTTAGTTGCCACCGGTTAACCGCTAGCAGCAAAGTGCAACTCCACCGGCTGGCCGGTGGAGTGCATACTGGTCACCCAGTGCGAGCGACCGGAGCTGTTCCACAAGCTGGAACAACTTGCTGCTTCAGCAAGAAACTTTGCCCAAAACCTGCATTTTTGAATCACCTTCACCAATAACTCATGGAAAGTAATTTTATACATATCCAGTATACCAAATCAAGGGTTTGTGAACTAAAATCCTCAAGTAATTCAACATACTTCTCCATAAACCAAATTTAAGGAGAAGAAGAAAACCCCTACCTCAAAAATAGCTCCTTCTTCAAAATTTCTTGAGGGCTTAGCATCTCGACGTCGTCCTCAACATTTTGAATCATGTAGTGTCAACTTCCACCGCCGGAAACGGCGGCTCACGGCGTGGGCGTTGCCGGAGCTCCGGTGAGCTATCGGGCATGATGGATTTTTTTACATGCAATTTGGATGTCATCTCGTTCTCCTCTCCGTTTTGAATTCATAAAAACAAAATCACTCAATTCTGATCAAGAACAAGTGAGATATGGAATTTTGACATTGAAGAAAAAATTTGGAAAAGAAGAGAGAGAGAGTTCGGGTAGAAGAGAGAGCCCCACGAGAGTGGAGGTCTTTGTAAAAATAACTCAATAGAAAAGTTTTATTAGTAAAATAACTTTTTAAAAAATTTTATTTGTAAAATGACCACTTTTTACAAAGAATAATTAGGTGGTCTTTCTTCATAAAAAATGAAGAAGGTCATTTTGTGACGACCCTAACTTTTGGTCATCATCCAATGCTCATACTTACCATTTCTTAACCTCTATGACGACCCTAATTATAACTTCTTAAAATTTCAAGCCATTTTTTTTCATTCTTACCATGTACGTTAAAATGCTATAGCAATCTGACAACATTCTGTTACATTAGTCATCAAAATACATAAAACACTATTTTAGTTTACATATAAAGTTTAGCAGCGTTTCCAAAACACATGATGCGTCCACAACCCACTTGCCTACATTCCGCTGCTACACCCTCTCTGCATGCCCAGCATCAAGTTTCAGGGAGCCGGTGCCTTACCCGTGCTTCCTACAACACGAACAAACTTAATGAGCTTTTGCTCAGCAAGTATCAATAGGTCATAACAGATGCAATAATTATACAGACCCATATATGCATTCATGTCATATAGCCTAGTACAGAATTCTAAACGACTTTCGTTCTGTGTTTCTCATTCTTTTCATTCTTGTTTACGGATAGCATATCGTTATATGGAATGGTTTCCGTGTTTCATTTGCTTGTCTTTTACTTCTTAGGGGCCCTGTCCTATTGTACCATAGCGCGCATAACCAGTGAGGAGTGGGGTAGCTAACCAATCTAACTCAGTCACGGGTTACATATCTTTCATAGTCTCATAATAACCTTTCCTTCAAAGGCTGGTACAAACAAAACATTTAGTCTCTTACCGTTTATAAATTTTCTCATTAAAACGGTAACTTTAGTTAAATCTTGTGAATTTGTGCATTATTGAGCATTTTATCATGAGATTAACTTTTCGTTAAAGTTTAACATTTCATTTCTCTTAGTTTGATCTCGACTTAACATCGATACATACTTTTTACAGAATAAAGTTCTACGATTACATAAGTCTTGTAGATACTTACCTAACATAGTATCTAACATTCACATTGTATCTAACATTCAAAATTCTACTATATGCACAGTCTTTGTGCAACATAGAAAAGTAAGCTTGTTCGTGATATAGCCACAGAAAAACTATTGTACTTACCAAAGTTTCGCTAACAACGCGTCCTTTGTCTCCCTTGACGCTTTCCAACTTCAACCGTTAATCGGCCCTATTGCATAAATTTTTCAATCGTTAGATTCAGAATCTAAGATCAATAATTACATTGAAATTTGCTTCAGAAAAGTCTACAATCCTTATGTTTGGTACTCAACCTCAAACCATTTCCTATCTCAAGGATTTGCACTAAAATCGTGCAAATTACTCAGTCATGGGCCTAATTTTCAATTTTGATCCAAAACTGTGAATTCTCGATGTGTTCGGTTTCTACCATCACCGATTATCGAAACATCTTTCTTTTCACACTTTAATCCCATATTCCTCTTGAAATCCAATTTTAGTTCAAATTACTCAAACTAAATTTTGGCAGAGTTTCGCCTTATTTTTCTCGTTCCCGAGTTTTTAATAACTCGTTCTACTTCTGATTTCGGTACCTAGAGTCAAGATTTACATTCCTAAACACGGATTCCAACATAAAATTGAACAAAACATATGTTCTTTCTTAATCTAGGCTCACGGATTTTCGATAGAAATCCACCAAAACTTTATTCAATCGTCTTAACACTTACACCGTTAAACTCTTATTACGATACTCTACAAAACCTCAGTTTCAATTTTCACTTTAACGGAAGTTTTTCTGAGATGGGTTACTATTCATCTAAATCAAGAAAATATAGAATTCTCACGAAAACTCTGAAATCTTACCTCCAGAAGTTGAGGTTTTTCCGCTAGAATGCCTCAGGTTGCGTTTCTACCGGACTGAACGGAAATCTCAATGAAAATGCTTGATTTTCCTTCCTCTGTCTCTCTCTAGCAACTCTCTTCTTTTTTTTTTTTCTTCGTAACTTTCTCACGTCCCCTCTTTCTTTCTTTTTTTTTCCTCTGCTATACTTCACGTGAAGTAAGTAATATCCTTGTAACCAACGTGAATCTTCATTACGTAAGCCATCAAGCTAGAGATAACTTCATGTAGCCAGCATTGAGTACATAGCCAACATGAGTCACCCTTCAACTTAGTTTACATAATGACACATGGTGTTAATGCATGTGAGGTTCCACCTCACGGTAACTATACTTTTCACCCTTTTTTTTCCCTAACGTACCTAAGATTAATCTAATATATATATATATATATACATACTATAACTTAAAGATAATTTAATATATATAAGTATATATATATATATATTAAAACTTTGTTCAACCTACTTTTATTCTTTGCTATATCCAAGATACGTGCTAGCAAATGAGTGGGTTCTATATTCCTCAAATTTTTCTTGTCGAGACCTAACTTTCCGTTTCTCAAAACGAGTCTCTTTCC